TGATTCACAGAAGTAGTTATTACCAATAGAATCTGGAACGGATACTGAACTACCAGTGTTACATGGACATGAATATGATGAGTTAGTTGATTCACTATGACCAGCAATTAGTGTCCATACGTGTTGTTGAGAAGGTCCACGAGAAATAGTAACACCTTCAGCATCAGTGACAACATCAGTAAAAAGAGCATTTATAGAACCAAACACATATCCTGTTACTCTACCACATATCTGAGAATAACTGATACCATTAGATGGGAACTGAACTGATACACAGCCATTGAATAATGATGGTTTGCCGCAAGCTCTAACTCCTCCTGACTGGTACAGTCCAAACCCAGAAGGACAGTTCTGTGTAGCATTAGACATATCCAGATATGCTAGTCTTGTCCATCCTTTTCCTGAACCACATGCTTGAGCTAGTTCCAGCTCCTTCATATCACAATACATGTATCTCCTTTCATTTCCTTTGCCTATTATATTATAATATCCTGATGAACTCTCTGGCCAATAATTCTTAATATCCTCACAAGATAAAGTAGCTGCTGCCTGACAAGAGGATGATTCCTCATCATTAGCTAATATAATATACAGTACAGGTCATTATAATGAAGATATTGTACTAATGATTACCTGAAGATATGTTAAAGCAGTGGAGTAGGACAATACACAAGAGAACTGGTCTTAACATTTGTAAGAAAGAAGATATCAACTATACCGTATCCCAACTGAGTTTGGGCCAGAAGTAGGGCTATGTAAATTATGGCTTCAGTTTTTGGCCTAGTATGCTTTTAGGTGCAGCCCAAATTCCATCCAATTATGCTTTGAAATGAATCCAATTATGCTCATCATACGCTCATATATCAACTGCCAAGTTCTACATGTACATACATTTAATATAATTGTATTTATTGTAAAAATGCCAGAATCTGGAAAATAGGATAGTTTAAGTCATTGGACTCACCACACTTGCATAGGTGGGTACTAGCAGTTGGCTTGTTGTACTAGTACTTGTACTATTGCCATATTGAATTGAAGTCATGTGGTCAGGGGCATAGTGCCAGAAATTTTTGACCCGTTATGCTCTAATTACATGTATATGCCAGTATAATAACTTGCTCTATTATGCTCCAAATTATGCTAACATAATTTGCCTAGCACTAACCAGAAGTGGAAACAGCTCCATGAATTTGAAAAATGTAGCCACTTGACATGTAATAGGGTTGACACATATCATACAATTAAACAATAATGAAATAGGTGGTAATGGCTAATCAGGATGTTCTGGAATCATGCCGTTACATATAAGTTGTAATGCACAAATGTTTACTGAGTTGCTGTACTGCTGTTGTTACCTACTATATTGCTTTATAGCCAATATATAGATTCATTATAT